CGCTGCACGCAAAACCGATGCATGACGAACGGAGTCGTCAGTCCTAAGTGCTGGGCCTACAAGGAGAGAGTTATTAATGGGGTGAGGAGTGGGGGGAAGAAAAAGCATGTGACGGAGAAAGAATGGAGGCGTCAGCAGTAGCCTGTTTTCGCTTACCCGCCCTGCTGTATGCAGCAAGTAAGGCGACCCGGCTGATGGCACCACGCGACGGCCGATGTGGCATGAGAATATTGTTAGTTGTGTAGGTCATGGTTGTACGAGGGCTGGGATACTGCCAGGGCGCCCACACCTAGACAGGAGGACGATTAGGGTCCTCAACCAGAGCCTTTGGCTCAAAAGCCTAACCGCAAGGCAACTGTGTTTGGCGGGGAAATACAAACGCATTACCTTTTCTACGGAACAAGTCGCCATACATGTTCCAACCCCCGTCTGGAGGACCAGGAGACTGTGTTCGTCAGACCTCTAACCATTGACCAACCTGGTATGAAAGACTGTGAGTGTCGCGCGGACACCCCCCAGTATAGCTCAATGGGTCGCCGAGGTACACAAACCGCCACACCACGATAAGGTCCAGTCTCTTCGTGACGGTGTCTAGGCTTAGGTAACCTGGCAGTATCTCAGCCCTCGTGCTTCCTTCGGGTGCGATGACAGCTAGGCACCGGAAGGGTGTTACAGCTAAACGAGAAGGGTTTAGTTCCTTTTCGTAAAGGAAACTGCTCACAAGGTTGCTGAAAACTCTTCGACAGCCCATGACCGATTTCGCCCTTCTTGGGATGAATACTTAGCCAACTGAAACATGAGGCGGCCAGTGTGCAGCACATTCAGTTGAACATCATAAACGAGAGGTTAATTTGAGTCTCCCGTGAAAAACAAATTGATTTGCAAATGAGTGTATTTGTCTATGTCTGGCTCCTTGTTAATTTCCAAGCAACCTACCACGTCGTTGGATACGTAAACTCACTAGAGGGAGTTCTGAAGTATACCGTGATTCGGGGTATCCTTCCCAGAACCAAACACCATCATCTCGTCTTCACCGTCATGAAGGTTAATACTCCCGGCTAATACTCGTGCTTGGCCGTCGTAGTTTGTCTACTGCACTACAGCTGATATTGACAGGCCATGTTTGCTGTCGTACTGATCGTCGCATACTGTTTTGTGAACCATTACGCTCACCCAATTTTTACTCGAGGATTGGGCAACCTGGATGTATCTCCTCTCTCGTGCTTGCTTCAAGTTGCACGGTAGTTGTGTACCAGAGAGGTGCCACAGTTAAAAGACAATCGGTTCTACTCCCACCTACTCGCTTTTCGGTATTCTTGAACTAAATAACAATGTGCGGTACTCCATCTTCAGTTCTCCACACCCCTGAAGATTCGGGTGTGATACCAAATGTATCACCGTTTCCGTCCGGTCAGACCCGATAGTTGTAAACTCATGAAAGCCATGACCACAGCCAAACTGGTGAACAACTGTCATGGTTCTAGCAAGTTTCGTCTGCATAGACTTGGGGTAGCGAAAACCGTCCTATAACGAATACAGTTGTGATAAAAGCATCTCCTATTGGTCCATTAAAAAAGTAGAATTCATGTGCATTTGGTGCAGGTAATGATTCGACTTTGGGGGAAGAACTACTACGGCCCCTTGTCAAATGATATTGTGATGAACTTGCTCCCCGCACTATTCTTCAAACCGTGCTTTGAAGCAACGTTCCTCCTTCATTAGACCGGTTTTGTGTCTGCTCGCCCCTCTGATAGAACTGCTCGGACGAAAGAGACTTTCGGGTCGTACTTATGGTAATACAGACGTTTCTCAGGCAGACGCAGCTCTTGTTACCGCTTCATTGAGGTCGGAAACTTCAGGATGCTGCTGTCTTAATCTAACAATGGCCATGTATTTTCACGGTGCTTGTAAATCCTTATTTGTCCCTTCAAATCTACTGCCTTTAGTTCGCTTCACCTTCATTCTGTTGTAAAGTCACAGATTGACGACAAAGGCAGCAATTCTTCCGCGAGCTCCCAACCCAGCTGTTCGCGATCCAGTCCTCTGAGCCGGAGAGATGCCACGAACAACCCACTCGATTTGACTGAGGAAGAACAACTTCAGTTGGCTATTGAAGCGTCCAAGATGGAAACAACTGTCTCTTCTCGTTTGCCCAGTTCGAAATCCCGGAGGAAATGCTCAGACATGGACAGGAGTGCTCCATGGGTAAGTTCTAGTTGCAATTGACATCACATTCGATGGTCGACAGCACTGACTGTGTTCGTTAGGGATCCGTCGACTGATGCGCATGCCTTCAGTGTATCGATTAAATGAAGAGAGTGTATTCAGTCACGTGAAGCTTCCTCCTGCCGTCTATCGCACACACTGTGTTCCGTCTGTGATGAACCACAGCTAGGTTGTCCAGTGTTGGGGACAACTCTGTCTGTCTGTCTGTCTGTTTGCAACCTATTTTCTATGGGGTAGACGAAGAAACCTACGGTCAATTCACCCTATGCTTCTGCTTATGGATTGTAGTTCGTCCGCTGCCGGCCAGGTTTTCAGGACCTGATTCACTGGATCACTGTGAACTGGTCTCCCTGAGGGCTCGGTGTACGGTACATGTGATTTCTCTAATTCAGCACTACACTTATTCAAGAACTTGTAATGACAGTTGTGTTTGTATTCCACCGGAAAACGGGCGAACCTCTCCATGGGAACAACGTGTGGTCCAACTGAGTCTACAGTTGGTTCGCAGTTTGTTGCCTCACACGGTTTGAGCAGTTATGCTGGCTAGAAACAGATTGTATTGGACGCAAAGCAGGAGATTTCGCTCCTCATTATCCTTGCAGTGATCGTCATCTTTGTGACGGCAGCCAAGCCGTGCTTCCTCAGGACTTAGTCTATTTAATGACCATGCTTGTCATCTGCCAGAAGTGTAGTATCTGTACTTTTCGCAGACCGAAGCAAACTACGATAGAAGCTGGCTTCAGGGCTACCGCCTGTCGGAGTGTAGACTGACACGACAAACTAACACCATTGACCACGTTGAAGTCTTCAAGGCGAAGAAGTTTTGACCGGTTTTGAAACCAGTGCCGCCAGGGATGCTCAGTAAGCATTCTGGACTTCCACACTCGTCTTGTGACATATTCACGAACATCATCGTCATCAACAGCATGACATCAGTGACCAATGCAGGATCCAAGATACGTTTCTACATCGTATTTGTTTTTTTTTTAAGTAGACCGGTCGTGTTGGTAGAGTAACGTGATTTTTAATGTCTCTGGGTACACCAACAAACCTGTACTCCGATATCGACGCTTGCAATTGCCCACGCCTGGTGATCGCTGGCGATCTTTTGTTGGATCCCCAGTCAGCTAATTATGACGTCGCTAACGTTCCTGTCGCGTAAGCTCCTGCATATTTTCTCACTGACCATCACCAAGTGGTTTTAATCCCAACCTACTCTCTGGTTTGGCTCATCCGTCGAGGCGACGATCTGGAATGCAATCTCTGTCGCTTGCAAATATTTGCTTGGAGCTAGGAATTAAGGACAAAGACCGATGGATCCAACATCATAGCACCATGGGCTCATCACTCAGTTCTGTTAAATCCACATCTCTCCACATAAATTCATACCAGGGCTTGCTTATACTTTTCAAATTTCCCTCTCTGGTGGGGCTAGTGTTAAATTCTCGTAGTCTAACTAAAAAAGAAATCGTACTTAGTGACATCGGGATCGCCTAACCCGAGTCACATGGAAAGGCGGCTAAAGATAACGTTCTGTTTGCGCACAGTCGCGTTTTATATGTATCAGAGACGTTGATTTGAAATATTTGTGCTTTTGCTGGTTCCATAAATTGTTCGCCAGTTTTTTGTGTTCTGCTCCGGTTTTCAATAGGCTGCTTCCGGCGCAGATGATGAGCTGATTGTCCTCACGGATGACGAAACCGACTCGTCAGTAGACGAGGATGGCCGTGATCCCGAATGTTTTATATATGACCCCGACACATCCCGGACAGCTTCTATGTCGACCACTGCGATGATAAGTGGAAGGCGTCCTCTTCATCCTACCACTGGAAGTTGTCCCGTCCCCAGCACTGTCAGCATGTCGACAGCCTCTCTTGCACCAAAGCCTTCGACCTCCCACCCACCTCTGCCGGTTCCAGGACTGAATGAGGATGTCATGGAGCTGGTTGTAAGGTTACCCTCTGGAGAACGAGAGGTCCTCCGGTTATCTCCCAATTTGCAGCTTCAAGTAGGTTTTTAGCAGACTTTGCCTAACAATTGGCGTGCACCAATTCTTTCCCACGCATAGACATTAAATCAACCACTTTCTCAGTGTACCTGATTTTTGAATAGAGGAAGGTCGCTTTTGTTAATGACGAGTGATTTCGATTAATCATAATCATCATCATCGACAGCATGACATCAGTGTTCAACACCGATGCTTCACTGCCTTCCAACAATGATTTATTTGAAAGCCTTATTGTAAAGAAAAGCGTAAAGGTGGACGGCGAAGGGGCTCAGTACTAGCCTACCACAATCATTCCAAAGTGCCTATACCTCCAGACATTCACTCAGGCAATCTGGATAGAAACTGACAACAAGAACGCCACTGACATCGGTTGGCAGCCATATCTTGTAGTGTCTTTAGCCAGGCACAGTGAGGATCACGCGGTCACCACCACCGACAGCACCCAAGCGTTTCGTGATCTCCTTTATACTCCTCTGCCAGGTCAAGGGTTGGCCACCTCTCCGTTTACGCCACTCTGAGTTGGGCATGGAAAACAGCACTCTCTTTGGCATTTTATTCATTAAGAATTCCGTTTCTGTTCAGGTTGCTTCAGTCGCCTATTCTTTTGGCTCCCAGCAGAACACTGTGTGACGTAGTCTACTCATGAATCTGGCAATTATCAAAACTTCACATTGTGGTTATTGGTCATCCGTCGTTTGTCATTTATTTTAGCATGAATACAGTAGACACCAATCTAACGTGGCTACTTGTTGCGCGAATTGTCTAATAGTTGGATTTAATGGTCGAAGACCCGTGATTGCCGGAATTTCGGGAGCAAAATTAGCCTGGCTAACGCCGCTCTGCGTTAACCCTTGAGTACGGAGCTGATGATAGCTGTAATCTAGTCCGCGGCGCCAGCCCTCGTCTTTGGATTATGCAGGTGACAGCCCACTTGGAATCTGGAGTTTGTTTCTTGCTAGATGGTCGCTCTCACTGGTGACCCCCCAGTAGTCGGAGTATCCGTACTGATTGGCCAGGCAATGGGCCGTGTCTCGTCCTACTCTTGATTGTTCTAGGTTGGTGGCTCCCTGGGTTCATCGTGTGGAGCATGGCTTATGTCGGTAGCTTTTATAGCTTGAGAAAGCGTTGGCCTTCCAGCACCTGGCGTAGATTCTATTTTGACGGTGCGATATGAACACCAAGCTTCACTGCCTCCCCAAATGATGACAGGTAAGAATTTGCTGTGTGTTTCAATCGAACTTGTAGGCATCTAAATGGTACCTGGTGAATGGTTATTAACGCCGGATGTGGAAATACTCGCGATTTCCACAGCGTCTAGGATTTCCATTAACCGACTTTTGATGTCATCTGCTAAGGAGGCTGTAAGTGCGCTTACCAATAATTTCCTAAGAGAAATTGACAAAAAATTGTCCAATTGCCTAACTGGAATGCCACTGGGATAATGCCAGGTTGCCCTAGTCTAGACAGAGGAAGCCCAGAGGTAGGGTCGGGTTCGAACCACGGACCTTTGGACCAGTAAATTCGCGCTCTGACCAACGTACCTTTTCGCCCCTAAGAGAGAAAATCCTGAGGAAGGTGGGTATCGGACGTCTCTTTAGAGATGACCTCTTTTCGAGGTCACTGCACACTCGGTCCTGGTTGACGCGAACTTTTTTAGGGCCGTCGAAGAGCACCGATCTTTCATGCCCAGTTACTAAGTGCAATAAACAATTCAAATATTCTTGTTCAATGAGCTCTTGTCAGCTTCGCTTAGGTAAACTTCAGTGCCACAAGACTCACAACTGGTGGACTGACTTATCTTCACTAATTCACCTATGACCAGAGGAGAGGTGGCCCAAGTGGTTAGAGCGCGCATTTACAGCCCGGAGGGTCCGTCGTTCGAACCCGACCTCTGTCTCTCGACTTCCCCTGGGCAACCTGGCAGTATCCCAGCCCTCGTTCCTCCCTCTGGTGGCACGACAGCCAAGCACAGGAAGGGTTCTAGAGCTGAGCGATTGTTTTTTTTATTGCTGGCACTTCCTAAGACACAAATATGGTCCTCGCATCGGTTGAAAACTAACCCTCATTCCTATTTGTTTCAGGCTCTCCGAGGACATTTCAACTCACGTGGTTTCCCTCCATCCCGATACGAATTCGTCCGACTCTACCCACGCACCAGTCTTTCCACCTTACCCGACACAACTCGACTTGGCGAAGCCGGTCTTTCCAAAAAGGACACAGTGTTCTTACAAGAAATATAGATAAGCACGTGCAATTTCTTCACTATAATGCAACTGTTCCGTCCCGGATGGTTTTGCCAGTGCTAAAACTATTCCTGACGGGTGATTCCAATTATGCCAGGTATTTGTGCCATGCATGATGATATTATCCATCCTCCGGATTGTACAGATTTAGTCCTCACCCTCCTCAAGATCTCCCTTGTTGGTGATCTGGATATTTCCACGTCTCGGCTTTGTTTTCCTCTCACCTAGGATTGAGTGATCTGTCCCGCTCATCTATCTTCAGACACCCTATACACCCACTTCAGTTGGCCAATAAAATGTGACTTGTGAAGACTCTGACTTCTCTGTTACTACCTTGATAACTGTTTTTTTCTGTCCCGGTTGCATACTTTGTTTTTTCAGCTCGCTGTCCCCGCCGGTTTTGACTAGCATCTGAGATGTCCGTTCCAAGCATCTTAATTTTGAGATATCTTTATGGTTCGATCGATGTTTTGTGATTCTCCCTGGGAACTACTCTGTTTACTACGAAGAGTGTGGTCCTGTAGCTAGGGGAGGGTATTGGTAACTTATGCTTAGTTAATGATCGAGTTGATTGCTGAGTTTGGGACGTTCCTCATTGCGTTGGTGCATTGTTATGGAGCTGAGCGAATATGTGCTTCAGTGGCTGTGAATGAATGGTCCAGCTGTAGCACCTTTTGGTGCCTACATGCCATGCCCCCCTCCCGAAGGGAGCACCATGTCCAAAGTACTGCTTGGTTGTCCAAGCCTATACTGGAGAAGTCGAGATGCCGGCATTGTATTCGAACCGCGGACCCTCTGGCCAATAGGTTTGCGCCCTAACTACTGAGACGTTTCGAGCTTGGTTGTACGTTGAATAGTGCTGTGAGCGAGTTTATATACGCACTTCTGGGAGAGAGGGCCCTTTCTGTTCTGACCGGCTGCTTCCTTGGTCGGATTGTTTGGTTGTGTTCTGATTGGTGGGCTCCAGGCTACCGTAGAACTTGACCACTGATTCGTACCCGGTCACTTCGGGGCAGCTAGTTATAATCAGAGGTAGCCTAACACTACTCAGCGCACAACCACCGACGCCCAGCTCCGCCTCTCTTCATTGTAAACTTCCAATGGTGTCACCTGAAGTCTTGATGAAGCTTTCAGCAAAGTTGACAGGCCCAGTTAACAAGTTTCGTCCATTCGTCCCCGTGACACTTACAGGACCTTTTCTAGTAGTGTAATCCAGTTCGTTTCAGACATATGGCTCTAGAACGGGGGTGTTTGAAAATTCCCTTTGTGGTTATTTAGAACCGATAAATTTAGGGGTCGCTAATCTAGGCTAGAGTCTCTTGTCCGATCCATTGTCGGAGATGATACTATTTCTTAGGCGGAATTCAGCTCCGATATCGCGTTACCGCTCGCAGTTAGGCGCTGCTCCGGCCAAGAAGCATATGCTGCACACGATTGGCCGAAAAGATCGGGCCGCTTGCCAGTCCAACTTCAAGGCGTGCTCTGATTGATCGAAATTCCGGAGCCGATGATGACTCAGTATTTGCCGAATACCGGTTTCCAGTGGTACGTCGAGAAGGCGTGAGAATTTCCAGAATGTTGTCGCTGCGTACACTTTATGTACGTCGTGGTGTACATGTGTTTTTGACCTGGTTTTGGACCTTTGGTCGTTGTTTTGATGGGAGCGCTAGCTTAGAAGGCTCAACTGAGGACGAAGCTCAGAAAATACCGTTGCTACAATTACGCATAAAACCTGCGTCAGTAGTAAACTCGGTGAAGACGACAACATGCTGAATGTGTCCCAAGTTTGAAATTATACTCTACATTATTAGTCATTCAGTAAATCCGATTGCTACAAAAGATGGAAGAAACTGGCGAAAGGATGCTGTCTTCAATGGCTGATGTCCGTTGAATCCTAATACCGTCAGATTTTTAGAGGTCATTTGTATGCTGACTTTCACTCAACGTTTGTTCTTTGGTATAGGCAATCATTATACAACTTTCTCGGGAACTAACTAATCGGTGTTTAATGTTTGATGAAAAAAGGAACATGCCTTGTTCGTGGAGGAGTTTTGTAGTGTAAGGCGACTGTTATTCATGTGACTTAATTTTATGAGTTCCATTCCGACTATAGCATTTTTCCATCGACACCCTACGTCACAGTCATGGCGGTGTGTGGACCGTTTGACAGCTAGTCTTGGTGAATTTCTTGCGACTCTACTTGTCCAATAATCCAGTTTATGGGACTTTTTAACCTGGCTCCCACATTCCTTGATCTGCTTATCATACTACGACCTCCAGGCTGGAATCAACAAATCGCCTTGCTGTTCGCGGCGACTTTATTGTGTACAGATGTACCTTTTCGTAATCAAAGTGTGCGCCACTTTGTAATTCCGATTTCCCGTTTTAACACATTGTGTCCATTTGTCATCCAATCCAAACGCTGATTTTTTGATTGGATTATAGGTTAATGCAAATGGGGGGTCCATTGATTTGCTGGCAGGATGGTCAGAGACAAAGATGCGGCGGTTGTAACTGCCGCAGCGTTGGTGTGCTGTTGTTGGCCTCACCTCGAGGTAATGCCTATAAGTCCATTTTCGACGAATTCTGTACAATGTGTGACTTTCCGAATTACCGCCATAACTGTACCTTGAGGCGAGGTGGCTGACTGATTAGAGCGCGAATTTACTGACCGGAAGTCCCGTAGTCCGAACCCGACCTCTGCATCTCGACTTCGGTCTAGAATTGGGCAACCTGGCAATATATCTGCCCTCGTGGTTCCTTCTGGTTGCATGGCAATTAGGTACCGAAAGGCTGTTACAGCTGGACGATTTCATTCCATTTCTTTAGATATCACAGTTGACTTTTCTTCAAAGGTAAACTGCGACTCTGGTTCTCTAGCGAACTGACGTCGTATCAGTGTCTAGGGATTCTTGATTGGAATGTGCTCAGATAACACGATGACCATCATTCTCAGCGCACCGCCCGCTCTCCGCTGTTCGATTGCTGTTTGTCAACTGGTCTAATTCACTGTCGGTACCTCAGTGCGTGAGCTGCTAAATGAGACTACATTGTTTTGTTAGGTCCCTTGCTATTCACTCACGCCTCCTTGAATTTCCCCCATGTCCATTTTAGCTTCTACTGGTGGATGGTATGCGGATACTGCCGTAGTCATTCACCCTTGTGAACCATGTCATCCAGTTCCCTTGGGTTCGTGAAAACAGTGATGGTTGTTCTCGAAAGTGCATCTGGTTCCGGGCACCGTATCATCGGATTTCGACCCAAGTTGGCTACCGCACGCAAAGAGAAAATTGCTTTTGACCCTCTTGTTCAACAAAATGTACTTTATAGAGAATTGAAAAAGATACGCTCCTTACGAAAAGCCTCACCTTGATGTGCCTCGCCCCATCCACTTACCCCGTGTAACTTCCCCTAATTTCGATCAATTACATGCTTTCTAGTATATTGATTGGTTTTCTGATGTGCATGCGGCGCTGCAGTATCGGGCTGTCGTGTGTTTGGCATTCTGTGCCGCTCACCCACTAGTACTACCACCACCAGCACCATGACGTGCGGTCTGTTCTAACTGTTGTCAACTTGGGTGCTCTTACGTACGCGTGTCATGCTTCATGCCTACCATCTATATCTTCCCTCGCATCGCACGTGTTCCCTTTGTTTTTTGTTTGTTTTTGTATATCACCACAACTGCACCTTCACGCTTGTCGCTTTTCCTATTTGAAATGTTCGATGTAGTGGGCGAGGGTGTAACTGTTTCTCTCGCGGTTTGTTTCTGGCATCCTTCATGTTTGCACTTGACTTTTTCGGGACTGGAGTCGTTGGATTAGTGTAGAGGCTCCGCGGATTCCAGACTGCCGACTAGCTTCTTGCATTGGTCGGAGGGGGTTGGACGCTAAATCTTCCTGTAGCGTAATAGTGCGCTAGCGTGGCAATAGTTTCATTATCAGCCCGTTCTTTTTGAACTAGTCAGGATTCCGCGAAGACAAGTTGTCCACTCACTACCGTGAATCCGCCAAAAGGACTTATTGTAGTATATAGTTTTTGCACTTGAACTGATCCCTGTTTGTCCCTACCCATTCACGGTGATATCTCAGCAAGCCACGACGAGAAACGACCCAACTTTCACTGCAATTTTTTTCGGCCGCAGCCTGATGAGAAAACTTCAACCTATGTGGGCTTGGAGTAGTGAGCTACAAATGACTTGTGTAGGTTCATGGTCGTTATGACTTCAGTGTTGAGCTGTTCCTGTGGGCGTTTGATCCGCAGCTGTCGTGAAATTTCACGATGGCGGACGAATCGAAATTATAAGTGGAGAATTGATGGAGTGGGGAAACCGAAAGTCGAAACTTGCTAATGGGAACTCACCGGACTGTGGGTACATACATACCACTGGCCGGGAGGTGTTGTACCCCCCCCCCCACAGCCAAAGTTTTCACGTAGCTGTTAACGCCTTTGGGCGCCTTTGGTATGTGGCAAGACCAGGGCTCTCCTTCGCTGGCCCCTGTTTCGTCACTCCACGAACATCACTAGATGTGCCAGTCGTTCTCTCCACATCCGATAAATATAACCTAGGTCACTAGACAGTGGTGTTTCCTTGGGCGACTGTGTGAGGCACCTACTTTCAGGTGACAGCAATCGTTAGTCGACATTCGAAGCAGATCTTTACTGTGTAGGGCATGCATACAGGGGTCTGTTCTTCAGCCAACCATTCATAATGGCACGGCAGTTTAAGTCATGTCATGATATCTGTTTTACATAGAATAACAGTGATTGTGCGGACGTGTTTCGGTCTCCCATTAGTCTTTCTGTTTGTTCTTCCCATGCTTTGCTATTTTGACTGAGCAGGGGCTAGAGGGTCATCCTTGAACAAAGATGCGTGTAACGTTGGGGATATCACTGTTACACAATTTCCATTGTTACTTGTAGTTCATCTTCTAATTATCTTAGTAAACGTTTTTGATGGGTACTAGCGGTTCCGGATTTTCTAGGAGCCAAATTACTTTTCTATGGGCAGTTTCAGTTTGATTTTTACAATCAACTACTTGCAAAAAAACCGGTTTGATTCAGATATTCTTCAATGACACTGCAATAAACAGAGGATGATATCCGCTCTTCAGAATACGAATCACTTCGATTGATTACTTTTCACTAAACCATACATGCTTTTACAACGTTGGCGAGATTTTTGAACGGATAGTTCATCAGCTTGTGGCATAGGTATATGCACCCTTCACAAATTACGGATCAGCTTCGTCTCTCAATGCGTGCCAGTTCACGCATGATTTTTCCAACCATCACTTGCTTTGAAGTCGCACTGAGAAAGCTCCATCATCAGCTCTAGTGAGATCGGCGTGCATACATGCCGTGTTAGTGCGCACCACCTGCGTGCACATCCCATCGTTCAGTTTGTTTGGCTGAGAATTCCGGTTCTAGAAATTCTTCTCGTCGTGCATGGTATCTTCGATGATTCTTTTTTCCCTGCTCTCGCTCTTTTGACCACTGATCACATTTGCGTCAGGCTGGTGTGTAGGGTAGTTCATTTTGTGTACATCCAAAATTTAACGCAGGA